AGATAACATATGGCGCCCATCCTTCATATCCCCTACTGGTCCTCTTACCGTTGGGGATTCGGTGGTGAAGAATGATATGACCGCTGCGGTGGTGGCCCGAAACCTTGTCACTCCCAGAGATAACAGACTACTTTCCAAACGGTCTGATGAGTTGGCTGTTAAGGATTCTCTGGCTCTCAGTGTGCAGTGTGCAGGTTCTGTGTCTAATATGGCCCAACGCCTATTTGCTCGAACCCGTCAAGTTGAATCATTGGCGGCTGAAGTGATGAGTCTCAAACAGGAGATTATAAGGCTCAAGCAGGAGAATAAACAGTTGCATAAGCTCGCACATAGCTATGCGACAAACATGAAGAGGAAGATTAACCAGATGCAAGAATCTGATGGTCAGATTTTACTTGATCATCAGAGGTTTGTGGGTTTGTTCTAGCAGCATTTGCCTTCGTCTTCTGGGGCCGTACCGCGTAATGAAGCTCCAAATGATCAACCTTTGGCTCCTCTTCTTCCTGGAGTTCCGCCGAGTGGTGTGGCTTCAAACAGTCAACCTCCGGCGCCTCTCATTCCTGGAGCTCTGCCGAGTGGTGAGGCGGCACCTGATCGTCCTTGAAGATCCCCTCTTGTAAATTTGATTTGATTTTTTTTTTTTTTTTTTTTGTAAATACATAATAACATATGTATTTATTTATTTATTCTTTTGTAATAAAATTGACTTTCTTTAATAAAACTTATATATATATATATTTTTTTTTTTGATATGACTGAACTCGAAATTGAATGTTCGAGCCGCCTACGTACCCTTCCAAAGAAGAGATCAAGCCATAACGTAGTTCAAATGAGTGATGAATTTAACAGTAATTTTGATGATGATTTTGCCGTACACAGTTTATGCTCTTGCGGGCCAGGAGCTTTGGTGTTGCCTTTTATGCTCGTGCAGACCAGGAGCGTTGATGTCGCCTTTTATGCTCGTGCAGACTAGGAGCTTTGTGTCATGCAGTTTAGACTCGTGCGGGCAAGGAGCTTTGGTTCGTGCAGTTTAGACTCGTGCGAACAAGGAGCATTGGTTCGTGCAGTTTAGGCTCGTGCGAACAAGGAGCATTGGTGTTGCCTTTTATGCTCGTGCAGACCAGGAGCTTTGTGCCATGCAGTTTAGACTCGTGCGGGCGAGGAGAATTTGTGAATTTTGTCAAGCAATTTTGGAGAGGCGTTCCTCACAATCTTCATAGCAAGGAGCCTTGACCGAGTGATTGAAGAAGTCTTTGGGAAAGAAATCGCGCATCGTGATGGGGATGGATGATCTATGTGTCGAAATTTCATCATCTTCAACACGTTCACATTGCTTTGAATGTTGACAAGAGCTGCTTTGCCCCCTTTCCGATTGGCGGACTTGTGGAGGAGACGTATGCTTCTTGTGCAATTTCTTAGGAGTGACTTGAGTCCATCCTTCAACTTTGCTTGTCTTGGAGGATGCCCCCTGAGGTTGAGGTAAAAATTTTGAGTCGGAAGAGCCAGAAGTGATGGTGGTATAGTTTGACTTCACCACATCGTCAAGATCTAGCTCGATGATTCCTTTCTGAGCCAGCTTCATGATGAGATCTTTCAGCACGAAGCACTTTTCTGTCGGATGACTGATGAAGCGGTGGAATTTACAGTACCTTGGACTGTCGGTGCGATTCATCTCTTCTGGCCGTCTGCACTCAGGCAAGCCGATCACCTTCTTTTCCAGCAAGTCTTCTAACATGGCAACCATATCAGAGTCGGGGAATGGATAAGTTTTCTCCTCAAGCTCTTTCAAAGTGCGTCTACGCATCTTTTGATCACGAAAAGCTTCAGCTTGAATCGCCTTGCCTCGTGTAGGGATTTTGACGGGAGATGTGTTGACTGTCATTGCTTCCTTGATGGATTTCCACGTAGCCTTCTCCACCTTTGTCTCAAGAATTTTGTCATTCTTGTAGTCGGCGATCGGTTCCTTCTTCCCATGATGGGCGATGCTCAACTCCATGTCATGGGCGCGGGTGGCCAATTCCTCGAAGGTCCGTGGTTTAATTCCTTGAAGGATGTATTGCAAACCCCATTGCATGCCTTGGATGCACATCTCGATTGAAGAGGTATCCGATAGCCTGTCTTTACAGTCGAGGCTTAGAGTGCGCCATCTGTTGATGTAGTCAATAACTGGCTCGTCCTTCCACTGCTTTGTGCTCGTTAGCTCTAGCATGCTCACAGTGCGGCGGGTGCTGTAGAAGCGGTTGAGGAATTCCCTTTCCAACTGTTCCCAGCTGTTGATGGACTCAGACTCTAGGTCCGTGTACCACTCAAAGGCGTTTCCTTTCAGCGAGCGCACAAACTGCTTGGCGAGGTAGTCTCCCTCCGTCCCCGCATTGTTGCAAGTTTCGACAAAATGTGCAACGTGCTGCTTTGGGTTTCCTTTTCCATCAAACTGCATGAACTTTGGTGGTTGATATCCCCTCGGCATCTTTAGGGCATCAATCTTCTTTGAATAAGGCTTTGAGTACAACCCGGAGGTATTTGAGCTCCCTTCGTACTGTGCCTTGACAGTGCTGGCAATCATCTCTTGCAACTGCTGGATAGAAAGAGATCCCATGAGTGCCGCTTCTTGGTCTGGCTCCGGCTTCACATCGATTCTCTCCACCGTAGGCTCATCTTCTGGGTTAGGGTTCTCGCCGTCCTGTGGCTCCAGTCGACTGACGAGTGCAGCAATTTGCAAGTCTTTTTCTTCCACAGTTCGGGTTAGCCTTGCGATTGCTTCATTCATTTGAGCCAGTTGTTCTTCGATGGAGGTAACGTCGATGGTCATGACTTGTGCAACCAATAGACGTGACTTTCCTTTAGACATCCAAGATGCTGACGAAGAACGTCGTTGGTTGTTTTGGGATGTCATCTTGTGTGCCTCAGCAGCATGCTTCGGTGCCCCCAGCGAGGTCAGGTTGATGACAGACTCACACCTTTGATGCTCCCTTTGCTCTTTTAGCGGCACCAACTTTGAAGTGGCATGTTGAGGAGCGGTTGTGGCGCCAATGGATTGTCCATTTGCGGCAGAAGTGCTTAGGATCCTTCCCTCAGTGATTGCGAGAACGGCTTGTCCCTTGCTTGATGCCATTGACTTTGAGTGTGTTTGAATTCCTTGAACGGAGAAAGAGATGAGAGGTAGAGATTGTCCCACTGGGCGTGCCAATTTGTGAACACGGAAAATTCCTGAAACGAAAGAGACAAGAACAACGTGCACAAAATAGTATTTGTGTTTGATGATTTTGGGTTACAATCTTTCTCAAATTTGATCCTCTGATTCGATCTCCGTAAGGTGTTGATTTATGGATGTTTCGTTGATCCAAGGGCCGTCAAGGCTTGATCTTGGATGAACTATTGGAAGTTTCTTCAAGGGGCCGTGGGCTTGATCTTTGAAGGTGGATTTGAGCGGATCTTCAAGGAGCCGTTGGGGCTTGATCTTGAGGATGAGTGTTTCTTCAAGGGCCGTTTAAGGTTTGATCTTGAATAACGGTGATGAACGGATCTTCAAGGGCTTTTGGGCTTGATCTTGAAGAACGGTTGGATGTGTGGATTTGTTGATGTTTGTTGATCCAAGGGCCGTCGAGGCTTGATCCTGGATGAACGGATGATGAACGATGGTGCTTTCTTCAAGGGCCGTCGGGGCTTGATCTTGAATTGGTGGAAGTTCTTCAAGGGCCTTTGGGGCTTGATCTTGAATTGGTGATTGTTGATCCAAGGGCCGTCGGGGCTTGATCTTAGGATGAACAGTTGTGTGGATTTGTTGAACACTTTCTTCAAGGGCCGTCGATGCTTGATCTTGAATTGGTGGAAGTTCTTCAAGGGCCGTTGGGGCTTGATCTTGAAGGAGGATTTGACAAAGAACGAAGAGGGCTTTCTTGATCCTTCGGGATTTGTTTGAATTTGGGAGGTTGGATGCTTGAAAGCTTTAGAGTTTCAAAGCTTCAAGGATTTTGGATGTGTGGGGAGTATTCTCTTCCATTTTGGGAGTAGAGAAATGTATTTGTGAATTGGTTTCCCTTCATTCTTTGATGGAGGAGCCTATTTATAGGCTTTGGGAACGAATCACCACCATCCATTTGTTTTGGTGGATGTTGTAGGTGAATTTTGGTGGATGTTGTAGGTGAAACTTGGTGGATGTTTGTAGGTGAAACTTGGTGGATGTTGTAGGTGAACTTAGTGTATGATGTAGGTGAAGTGAATGAAGGTTGTAATTTTAATACAATGGTCAACATTTATTTCACCAAAATTTCAATGTTTATAAATGTAATCTTAATGCAATGGCTAACATTTATGCCACCGAAATTTCAATGTCTACAGACATTCACACAAAAGAAGCCAACAGATGAGATGTTTGTTGGGGTAATGAATTTAAAGCAACGGATTGCAGATTCATTGTTTCCAAATACTGCAAACTGCAATAGACGAAGTTGTGGATGCCGATATCCTTGGGATGGAGGAAGATCGCGATTTCACGAGCATGAGGGATTGCTTTTCATCCGTTATGAGATTAGCTTTAGTTTGTTCTTCCATAAGGGAGGATTAACATGCAAGATGTTGTGGTCACACTCAAAAAATATCAAGGACTGTGGATGAGTGAATTCTTAAAGCTGGTTTGGCATTGCTGAAATTATTTTAAAATCGGTTTTTTTATTAAAAAAAAGGGGGCTAAAATTGAGTTTGGTAAATGAAAAAAGCGTTTTTTTTTTTTTGTCTAAATCATGAGTTCAAAACAGCAGAAAACAAAAGCAACTCTACCCCTGCTTGTAAAAACAAGGTTTTTTTTTTTTTTTTTTTTTTCACAGAGCACAACAACCCCGAACTAGTCCTTAGGTCTTTGTTCATCTCTTTACCTTCGGATTCACTTTCTTATTGTTGTTTTTGATCTGCAAAGACTGCATTAATTTCTAAGTGACGAATGTGACAACGTTCCTAAAATCGAAAAGGTGTACCTGGAATTGTCAAGGAAATAAGACCAGTTGTACCAAAATTGCAATTCCAATTATTCTTCCCATCTTTTGGTAGCAAAGCATTCAGTTTCTACTGCCAACCAAATCCGTTTAAAAAATTTACACTTACAGGTCAAGAACACCGGCCATGGGAATACAAAGTTATTTCAGTCAATATATCAGGAAGTTACAAACTTCTACACGTGCCCTTGACAAAAAATTCTAGGGCATTGAGACTGTTACTTTACCAATTCTAGGCCCTTGACAAAAAATTCTAGGGCATTGATATTTTCAGTAAAATTTACTGGTTAAGTTGGGTTTTTCAAGTGCTTCACCAATTTGTGCTCATCTTTCTAACGAAAGGAACAAAGTTATTCCAATTTTCGGCCCTAAAGATCTTATCATTCATTCTGAAATACGTAAATGATCTTACAGGTTCAGCCTGGGAATGGTAACAGTTAGCATGTATTTGCCATAAACCAACCTGCAAGAGAGAAGCAGACGCGTGAATGCGCATGACAGAATGGGCACAAAAAGAAAAATTGGTTAACCATTAAACGCTATCAGAAGACATTTTTCTATCTAGTTATAAGACATTTGCAATATCCAATATATTTCCAATAGAAATAAATGGTAGCTGAAATTTGCTTTTGTTCTTGAGCAAAGGATGAATTTACCCTGTCAAATCGTTCATGGGTATTTCTCCCGATCAAATGTATCCTTTTCTTTGAAACAGTCCATATCTGGTGTAAACAGAATCATGTTAGACTAATATTCGATAAACATTTAACAGAAGAAACCAATTGACTGATATAGAATTAAGATAGCAGCAAGCCACCGCTACCACCACCTACTTCCGTAAATGGACAGACCAATCTACAGTAAGATACTGATATACAGTATGGTGATACAATATCAATTGTATTCCAAATTTAAACAAAACATAAGATGATTATTGGTGAACTAGTCATATGTTTCATTTTTATTATCCGCACAAAACAACCAAATTAAAACTAAAGATTTACCTCATAATGAACTATAAAATACTAAAAGAAACATCAAAAACTGATCAATAATGCCCAATATCTGTAATACTAAAAATGCTCATATGGCCCGTTCCAAGTCCATGTTGAACCTGCAGACCCTAGAAAACCTGTCGTGCCAAGCACAGATGTATGGGCTAGTCCTACCTAACTTTAAAGCTTGAATTATACAAAATAAAATCTCTAAAGTAAAGAAAAAGTACCAACAAGGCAACAAGCTAAGGAAGTATTATTAATCAACAGGCCCCGTACCTGCTGGAGTAATCCTTCTGGGCTGCAAAGATAGGATGCCGGATTATCACCATCTGTCATTTCTAAGCAGCTGCAATAAGATATTTAGTATGTGAGCATGGTAGATTAGATATATTTGAAATCAAGTGAATGTCTAAGAAAACCTAATTATCAGGTTGGACAGAACAAAATTCCAGTCAGAACCTTAAAACTTAGAATCTTACGAAACATGCAAAGCAGCTCCATGACGAGACAAAATTGAAGCAACAGGATCATAACCATCTCTAAGAGCAGTGTTGTAGTATCCAGCTGTAAGTTCAGCAGGGTGTGATACTGTCTGGTACCACCAATATATTCCACCAATTTTAGCCGCCAATAGAATATTAGTTTGCTTGTTTTCTTGATATTTCTTCAGAATGTTGGCTGCCTTTGCAAGAATATCATCTGCATGACGGAGCAACCTACCACTGTACCATTCCTACAACGAGTCAAGCCATTGTTAGATCTCCTAAGATCCACATTATTTTCCAATAAGTTTAATCATGTTATGCATAATTATAATATTGTAGCATGATAAAGAACCATAATATAATTTCCCACTTCTACATCTATAACTGTCCTTCATTTATTTACCAATACATCCTATGATGATATTTTTTTTCCTCTAAAAGACGCTATACTTTTTTCATTCGTAATGAAACTGCATTTAACTTCGTGCAGTTTTTTAAAAACCTATTCCCTTGTCATGGCTTCATATTAAATCTTTAAAACATATCTACTTTTTAATCATGTTGTGTATGAGTATTTAAGAAAATAGTTACAAGAAAAGTTCCAGAAATGATTGAAAAGATATATTGCAGGACCATTGTTTACAGTGAAGTCTTGCATGGCTAAAGAAACACCATCCAATTAAGCGTTTGCATTTTATTCTATGTGGTAGTTTGGTAGTTCGCTAGTTCTAGGATGAAATGTGCATGAACAGAATGATAAAAATATTTATGTCGTGCATTTTCTTTGGAAAAAAATAAAGCGAGCTACTTCCATCAGTTTCATACAAGGAAAAAACACCCATAATCAGAAAGAAAGCTTTCCTCTCCCTCTTCAAAGAAAGGAACTTCAGATGGGAGACTGTTGTAGCAGCCAGCATTTTGTGGTCCCCTCTCTCCCCACTGAGGCTTTCCTTCCTTGCGTGCAGCCATCTTTAGGTCATCCATCCTAAAAGGAACAAGATTGTAAATAGTAAAAATTCAGTTGCTCAAATTTTCGTCACAGGAATGAAAGGTTTTTCAACATACATGTACTTGTCATAGCATTGGAATTCACCGATTCCAGGAAACTTCCATCTACCATCACCAAAAGGATGTGCAGGATATCTGTGTGAGCAATGTAACAATGTTGCATAAGAAATCATTGGACTGGCTTCATACTCAAGGTTCTAGTGTAACTGTAACATACCTAAGTTCACCAGAAGGACCAAGGCCAACACTAATTTCTTCTATCACAGTTCCGATAAAAGATTCAAATTTCTTAGCAAAATTTGACATGAAATCTTCATAACATTGGAGGGCAGTCCGGCCACAAAAGAGAGGAACATGATCAACTCCGAGTGTAAGATAATCATCATTGGAATACCCATTTTGATCGCGATAATATATATGCTTATTCTGATCACCGATCTGGGAGGAAAAAAGAAGGGGTTCAACTTCTTTATCTAAATTCAGGATTCAAACTGATATGCATGTAATTAGACCAAACTATAGTTTTTATTTCGCATCCCTTTGCATTGATAAGCCTTTCATGCGCATCAAAGCTAAAATCAAGTATGCTAATGGGGAACACAGTACCATAGCACGTTGCAGAGCAGGAAACTGAAGACACGTTGATATTGTCTCTAGTCATCCAAATCGGTTGTGTTTCTTATTTTGTCACAACAGAAAGTATGACCGGGTAATTTAAACGTTCCAATACAGCCATGTGCATTTTACCAGACTAATAACTTGAACAATCTAAGAAAACTACTAGGCCAAACAGTCAAATGGGATTTCAAAATAGCATAGAAAACAAACCTCTACGATCCATAGCGGAAGACTTACACCTCCTTTTCTGCTAGAAGAAGAGTTAACATTTGAATGAAAAGACAAGGCAACATGCAACTTCAAACCTGACTCAGAAATCAGTTTGAAAAGCTCTTCGTATAGAGACCAATCATATGCAAGAGGAGAGAAACGCTCTACGATTCCCCACCAAACCTCAACTGCAATTCCGTGGACGCCTGCCAACTTGAGTGCTTTAAGAGCTACAGTTAAGGCCTTGATTCTGAAACAACAATAAATCGAGCAACATATAAAGAGTTTCTGTCTCACCAATAGAACAAATTTAGAAACAAATTGAAACACACATATAATCCCTACATAACTTGAATTGGGCTGCAACCTTCTAGCTAATCATGTTCCGTCCTTTAAAAGAGTATAAAAATTAATTCAAGAATGAGAATGCACCATAACCTCATCAACAGAAAGTCATAATAAAACTTACTTCCTAATCCTTGGACGCCCCGAACCATCAATGCAGAAAGCATCAACAGGCATCATCACATATATGGGAATTCTCTTATCTCGGGATGATGGCAATATCGAGGACCTCGGATTCTCACGTGCATCCATACTACAAGCAATAAATCATCTAATTATACACATTTATACAATCCAATTTGAACATTCAAAAGCAACAAACCAGCTCGAATCGATAAATTAAGCTTTCGGTTCTAAATTTCGTCGTTTTGAATTTATCAGAAACCAAACCGAACCTGCCCAAGTATTCAGTAAACCCTACACTACACAAGCTCAAAGGTTTTAATTTTCTTATTGATTTTCCTGCGTTTTCTCGGGAACCAAACAGACCGTGCAACTGAAAAGAAAACGGAAAAACCCCATAATTGTGTGAGAAAAACCTGAGAATGCTGTTTCCGGCGACAGATGGGCTGCAGCGAGTGAAGATGCCGTTTTTAAAGACGGGAACGGCTGAAACGTTCCGGAGGTGGTTTCGGCGGTTGGGCTTGTCATCGAAGCTGACTTCTCTGAAGCAGAAGAAGCTCCTCCTGGCTGCCGTGCATTTGCACACCACTCGCCCATTGTCCGCCATTGCCATCGATCACAGAGAATCTCAGAGAGATAGCAAATTCTAATGTTTCTAATTTATTTGCAGCTGAAATGTAAGATCGACTGGTAGTATGGTGTGATCGGTTTCGTGTTGTGGGCCTATCTGCACGAACGGCTGAGATTACTTGATCTTAGGGTGCGCGTGGGAAGGATCCGTAGAGGATCTGGTCCTTTTTCTTTGTGGCCCAAATGTAAGATACTGTATTTAGCCTTTCATATATATTTTTTTTATTTTTTATTTTTCAATTGTGTGACGAGCATTGAGAGTGAGTGGTCAAAATTTAATAAAAGTTATCTTTGTATTTTTTTATTATTTAATTTGAGATATTACACTCTTCGGTTTGGTTTGAGATTTAGAAGTTTGAAAATGTGTTTGAAATTGCATTCTCATGTTTGGGATCAACTTCACCATACATGGGATGGAATAAATTGGTCGCATTTTCCCACGTTTTAAACACGGAAATGAAGACTTGTTCTCGTCTCTTTAGAATAAGCAGGTGTTTCATTTTAATTTAGAAACTAGACATCTGGATTTTTAGATATTAAACTCGTTATTTCTATTATGACGTTATTTCTAGTCCTCATCAAAATAACAATCAGCGAAAGAGAAGAAACAAAACATAATAAAGAAAGCGTTGCCTTCTTACAACTTAAGCTAATATCAACCTGTTTGGTTTCTTAAAAGAGCAAAACAACTCTAAGACTTGGAATTTGATAACCTTTCTTGTATCCTTACCTGTTGATAGCAACAAAAATCCTGACAAGTCTCTCTCTCTCTCTCTCGTTGGACGCAAAGATATGCATAATATTCTCGATGATAAGCCTAACGCCTTGGTGTTTTAGCACGCTAGAGTACAACTTCCTTCCTCATCGGCTGCCTAATCTAACATGCATTATTCTCGATGTGTTGTTGGAGTTAAGCCCCTGTACAAAACCAGACCATTTCTGGGGCCTTGATGTTGGCTGCCAAGGACAAAAAAGGTGGAGTAGGCGTATGCAAAGTTTATTGAAAACGAAATCGAAATTACCAAATCCAATTATCATATTATGGAGAGGTACATGTGAAAGCAAAGGAATGGATAGAAAAGGTAGGGCACAAGTATCTCCTACTGACGAAATTCTGGAGACTTACATCCCCGGGGCTGCATGCACCTCCCACACAAACGACTTAAGTTGAAACAACTCTTCTACATTTCCAACTGATTTCTTGGTGCAACTTACTTGAGAAACACAGCTTCCTTGTATATCAAACACCCGGTCTTCAACGTTCTGTTTGATAGGCAAATCGTCTCGAAGAATAACAGCGGTGTGCATTGCAAAGCAAACAAAATCTTGAAGAAAAACAAATTTAACATCAGTGTGCAAAATAAACACACAAAATATGATTAAATTATAAATCATTCAATAGAATGATACATACAGAGTATATAAATCACCAGTAGAGGGCCAAAAACAAAATAATAATAATAATAATTCTTAATTCTAATAAATATAACTAATCTTGAGGAGCAGGAAACCAAGTGTGTTGATTTAGAGTGCCAAAGCAACCCAGATAGACAACCCGCTCAAAACCACCCGAGCCGCATTCAAACCCGAAGCCGACGAATCATCGCTTGATGGACCCTGCGCAGCACTATCCGGTGACAGACTCGCCGGCGCCGGGATCGGTGGGCTACCGCTTGATGGGAACATTCCCGGGGACTCTGCCGGTGTTGCTGAACTCGAAGGAATGCCTACTGGTAACGAGGGGGTCGCTGCAATCTCAGGACCCTCTGCAACTGGCGCAGCCCCCACTGGACTTTCCTTCGGAGCGCTCACCGGAGTTTTGGCCGGAGAGGCAACGGTGGGCGGAGGGGACGCCGGAGATTGAACCGGAGAAGACACACTCTTGGACGGGCTCTTCGCTGGAGAAACCGGTGCGGGAGGAGACGGCGGAGAGATGGTGGGTGGGGTCGACGGCGGAGAGGTGGTGGGTGGGGTCGACGGCGGAGAGGTGGTGGGTGGGGTCGACGCTGGAGAGACGGTGGGTGGGGTCGAAGCCGGAGAAGTTGGCGGAGAGGTTTTGGGAGAAGGCGAAGGAGGCGACTGAGTCGGAGAGGATGCCGGAGGAGTTGCAGGAGAAGTGGTCGGAGAAGAAGCCGGAGAGGGTTGCGGTGGCGGGTTTGTGGAGGGTGTAGAGGGTTTGGGGGAAGGAGCAGGCGCATTGCCTGCATGTACCACATTGAAATGCGGGACGATGCAGAGGAGAAGAAGAGAGAGTAGAACAAATTTGTTATGCATCTTTGGAAATCTCTGATGAAACTTCAAACTGAAAGTTGCTGTGAATGATGATTCAGTTCTGACTGCTGAGAGATTGATGAGGAAGGAGATGAATTTATAGGGAAGAGTTATTTCCGAAAATAATTAGAATTTAAGACGTTGGGAGTAGAAGCGTCGGAAGTTTGTTCGGGGGACAACTCAGAAAATGTGACCGTTGGGAAGGGTGGGATGGGGTGCCACTGGCTATAATCGGTAAAGTAGCCGTTACTTGGCACGGCATCACAGGCTTGTCCGGTTGGTTTGTCGTGGAATAACTGTTAAGAAATGCGGTCCTCCGCTGGGATGTAACTTTGTTGAATAAATAGTTAATGTTGGTCTAGTTTCGTTGGAGAGGTAACTTTTTTCCACTCATGACTAATGGGACTTCGATTATCTTTATCTTTTTGTGCACATGGTTTGTTGCTCGAATCTCTTTTCTCGCTGTCCTTTGTTTTGTATAAGAATAAAATAAAAGAGGTTTTAACAAAACATTTTTGGTATTGTTTATTTTTAACAAAAAATCACATTTTACTTTTAACTGGCACTATTCACTATACATTTAAAAATGACTTTTCGTTAAAAGATAAGTTTTTTTTAAACTTTTCGTTAGTTTTCCTTAAATAAAATATTCTAATCTAACTCAATACATTATGTCAAGGTATTAAAGGTATTTCGAGTAGGTTCTTTATCGAGAAAATAATACATATTGCGAATTGTTTTTACGATGAAACCTTAGCTTTCTTCAAAATAATCATTTGGTAAACATGTCTCCTATTAGGCAGTTGGACGAGGATACGAAAGCTTTGCTTACTATACAACCACTAAACTTTCGTGTACCCATACTTGCCGCCAAGCAAACGGTGTTTTTTATTATCTTGCTCGCTTTGCTCTTGGTATTGGCAACCCTAGTCTTTGGTTTATGGATCCTCCTGACTTTATTTTAGATTTACCTGTCGAGGATTGTAGTCTCTTAAGCTGGCTAAGTTCCTAACTCTCTATTTCGTTGCATTTTCTTCAACGAATCTTATTGTTTCTAGTAAAAAAAAATGGAGGGAAAAACATGATTTTCTTAGGTTCTATACAACACATTGTATTTGTTTGTTTGTATGTAATTATAACAATTTGAATTTGAATACAGTTTTATTAATTGATGATTGGAGCAACAAAAAAAGCCGAATTGTGGATGGGTAGAAAATTTCGTAGAGTGAGTTTGTAAACAATAGGTGTTGTAAATGTAATATATGACATTTAATTTTTTTTGTTTGTTACCCCTCAAAGTAGGGTGACACGCTCTATTAACCCGAATAGTTTAGATCATTTGAAATGAGGTGTCAAATTAAAATGTTAAATTTTATTTTTATGACTTATGTGCAAAATAACCTTTTATAAAGGCTATTTTTTTCAACCGAGATGTCAAATTAAAATTCTTTTTGGTTATTTATAAAATCAAGTGGGTTAGAATTTAACAATAAAATAATCAAAAAGGGAAGAAAAAATAAAATAAAATAAAAAATGGGATAATTTGATTGCGGTCCCTAATCCTTAACATTATTTGATTAAAACCTTAATAGTATTCAAAGTTTGATCAAGGTCCCTTGACTTTGTACACCTCATTATATTACTATTAATATTTATATTTTTATAGTTTTGACATTAATTGTTTGATATTTTATGAGATTTATAATCCTATAAATTTAAAATCCCTCTTTATAATACTATTAGAAACGGTTACAATAAAAAAATTCAAACATTTTAATTGAATAAATGGATAAAAACTATGTAAAAATAAGAAATAATAAATGGCAAAAGAATGTATCCATAGTGTTAAAAAAATTGGTACATTTCACATATAACAAAGTGGTACATTAATAAAGAAGAATGGGTACATTATAAATAAATTAGGGTACAAATAAAAAATTAAAAATTATGAGTACAAATGAATTTTTAAAAAGGGAAAATTAGGTTTACATCATTCTTTTTGTTACTCCATTTATTAAAATCCTATTTATTTTCAATTTTTGATCAAGGTCCTTGGGTATTAACAACATCATTAATTATTTGAATAATAAAATATTTTTATTTTTAAATATATCCCTTTATTGTTAAAAATGTTACAATTAGTATATTTATATTTATATTTATGGTTAAATTTTTTATCATATATTTTTATTTTTTAGTTACCAATTTTTAATTTGCAAATATTTTTTAATTTGTACCAATTTTCTTTTCATTTTTAATTTGTACCCATATATTAGTTTCTTTTTGTGCCCATATTTTTTAAAGTTTTATTTGTGTTTGTACCCATGTGTATACCATTACGTGACATTGTATATTTAATCAATGATAGAAAAATTACATATGGTATATTTATGTTTTATGCCTAAACTTTGTATCATAAATTTATATTTTTAGTTTGTACCCACTTTTAATTTGCAACATTTTTTTTTAAATTTGTAGTATTTTCTTTTTAGTTTTATTTTGTACCCATTTATTAATTTCTTTTAGCATCTATATTTTTAAAAATTCATTTGTACTCATAATTTTTAATTTTTTATTTGTACCCTAATTTATTTATAATGTACCCATTCTTCTTTATTAATGTACCACTTTGTTATATGTGAAATGTACCAATTTTTTTAACACTATGGATACATTCTTTTGCCATTTATTATTTCTTATTTTTACATAGTTTTTATCCATTTATTCAATTAAAATGTTTGAATTTTTTTATTGTAACCGTTTCT